CTCTCGCTCTGTCTCTCTCCCTCTCTCTCACACACACACTTCCTGAGGTTTTGTATGCATAGCTGTACTCTCTTGTGAACAGAGCTTACTGGTATTAACCCAGTTTCACTTTTCACGCACCAAGGCCCTTTCCTAGGGGAAGAGCCTTGTGGGATAGAGAGAGAAGTGGAAGAGGCAGGAAGGATGGAGTGAGGGACTGAGAATACTTGTATGAATGTCAGGGCCTTTTTATCACATATGAAACAAAAAGCCAATTCTCCCAAAGTGGTTTCCAAGGAAACTGTGCTGAATGAAAGTCTGGTGCAAACTAAAAAAAGGTCACCATGGGAGGTGACCTCCCACTGTTCTGTGACTGTCATTGTCTGGCAAAAGAAATTTCCATCTTCACATATTATTAAAACTGAAAACTTTTGTTTAATTCTCCTGTACAGTTGCAGCAGATTTGAACAGTTACAGTTCAAATACAGTTTGATCAACTGCTGCTATCATTTGTATCTTTTAGACTATTAGATCATATATGCTTGGGTAAACAGTAATCTTTCATCCAGGTGGTGTGTGTTTATTTTTGACTGTGCCCTACCCCAGGTGCCGCAGAGCCCGGAGTGCACGCGCGCCATGATGAGGATGACTTACTGTCCCCACTGCCGTGGCATGGCCTCGGCCAGACCTTGTGCCAACTACTGCAGCAATGTCATGAAGGGCTGTCTGGCCAACCAGGCTGACCTCAACACAGAATGGAGGCATCTGGCAGGTGGGGAGCACACACACACATTCACACGTGCATTCCAATTCAGCCATATGTTTCCTTAAAGTTGCATCCGACACATGATGTTACTTTGTGCCTGGTGTTTACCAATGTACTACATATGAAACATTTCACGCATTCTTCACGCTAACTGTACCTCCTGTCTTTGTAGAAACAATGATACAGGTGGCTGATCGCTTTGATGGCCCATCTGGTGTGGATAGCGTGGTCCTCTCAATCCCATATCGCATATCAGAAGCCATGTTTACCATGATGGAGAATTTAGTGACCATCAACACCAAGGTCAGAGCACACATTGGTGCACATGTATCCAGTTGTATACAGCTGACTGAACCATGCAAAATGTTTTTACAATGAAGAGTTTGGGAAAAAAAGACTACAAATGAACAGGCATCTCACTTCGCTCGTTAGACTTGAATATCTGTAGATCCTCTTGTCAAGGTGGTCCTACATCATTTTTTTATATTATTTTTATATATATATTTTTATAAGTTTTATTTTTTTCACAAAAAAGGTTTCTGTGTTTTTGTTTTTCTTGTAGTAGCCTCAGTGGTTTTAAGTGGGTAAAGTTTAGTTGGGAAAAAATGTGATGTCATGCACTTCATTACACCAATCAAAGATTAAGCAGTCGAAATGAGACTGTGGGATTGTTTGCAATCGTCAATCAAATCTGTTCAAAGCACACCTGCACAGTCCCAATGAAGCAGATTAACTCATTAGCTTTTTTTAGTCATGAATATGTAATGTTACAGAGAAATACTAAGGAAAAGCTAGTTTTCAGGGGCATTAAAATACTCATATCACCTGATAAAGCAGTAAGAGTAGTAAGGAAATACAAATAATTTACTCTTTAAGTAAATACCACTGTGCAAACTAATACACAAACCTTGGAGCCATGACTTAATTCCTTTCTCACTATGCTACCTTATTTCCTCTACACTCATTTGTTTGTTCAATCAACACCTATCTTACATTAATGTGGTTGCAATGCTCAGTATACCTGATTTAAAATAAAAGGATGTGAGTCATGACAGAGCCTGCAGGCCAAGCATTTACTTCACTGTTTAATGGTGTTTGAGCAACAGTTTTATATGATCCTTAAAAGGCACTGACACCAATGGAAACCTGACTGAGTTGTTTGGTGAAGGTGGGAAACAGTGTAGATGGTGAGAGGAAAGACAAAGCTTCCTCTGTGCTGGTTTTGCTGTTAAAGAGCCTGGCTGGCTTGAGGTGAACCATAGCCTGGCAGACTGCCTCTGACCTGGTTCAGTATGGTAATCACACACAGCTTCAGCCTCTGATCTTCATCTCAAGGGAAAAGAGTTGTGTTGATCCCATAGAAGTCAATTTGTGACTATGGTCTTAATATTATGGTAGACACAGTGTAGGACAGATTATCTACTATTTACATAATCTGTTGACATCAAAAGCCATATGTTGTGCTATGTACTTTTTCCATTAGGAACAGATAAAAGTGATTGCAGTATGCATGAGTAAATGTGCTTGAAGGATCTGCCACTACTCAGACGACAAACGCCATGTTTTTTTTGTTCATTATTCAATCGGCTGTGAACCACACAACATTTATACTGACAGACACGGCTGAAAGCTTAAAACAGGATTATTTTATAGTTATGTGTGAAGGTTCAAAGGCTTGAGGCTCCTCTAAGCAGGCCAGATTGGATGACAGATTGACTGCAGTCTTACTGTATTCCCTGGGCTCCATTTATAAATCGTAAGCCCCGTAGGGACAAGTCATACTTTCTGAGCTGTGAATCATTCTGCTGGAGCAATGCTGTGATTGACTCTTGGGGTCATGCAAATAACAAGGACAACTCGTCACTTTGTTGTTCAAAGATAGAGATTTGTGTGTACTAATATGCTCAACGGTTCTTTGTGTACTCATAGGCAGGTTGGTCCAACAAATGCAACATGTTTTGCTGATGCAGTATGAGTATGGGTTTATAGGATTCTATTCAGAGAGCTAGTTCCAGTGTTAGATTTTAGTCTTGTTAACAATAATGCCAATAAAGATCATGATCCATGAGCTACACATTGTAGGAAGATTTATAGAGCTGATGTCTGAAGCCTTAGTTACCAGATGTGGATGAAGATTAATTTGATGATACAGCATTTAAATCTGTTACGGGCTTTGCAGTGTTTGGAAGGCAAAATTTAAACTTTTGTCAGTCTAATTTGCCCCCCTTCCACGTATCCTCTCTCTACATTTCTCTCTTGTCTATTCTTCACTTTTTCCTTCTCCAGTTGTTCCAGTCATGTGGCGCCCTCAGAGAGGGAGGAACCAGCAGCACTGGAGTTGACGACACCATGAAGAGAGGGAAGGTTACAGTGGAGGACAAGTTGGGATCCAGTTCTAACAAAATGGGCAAACTGGTTAGTATTTACCCCGATTGAATCTGTGTGCTTGTTATTGCTCTCTAAAGGCCTAATCCGGCCCTTTTTTACAATTGATGGTTTATGATGCAGGTGCCATTATTCATGATGGGCCATTAAACCCCTTTTGCTGTCCATTTTACCTTTACACAGAGTACTATGGGGTGATTAGATGGGAATGAATGCTTGGATGGTTGAATGAGTCAGATCACTGAGCGCTGCAGTTAGTTATTGAAGAAGCAGGAGTCTTTCTTACTCTCCTATTTCCTGTCCAACATTTTGCAGTGATTTTGGGCAAAGTATAAAAGCTCATGAATCTGCTCTTGTCAACTCTGCCTTAGGTGTCTGATGTAACCATGAGACTGAGGGACATGCAGCCATACTGGGTTTCTCTCCCAGGTGTTCTCTGCAGTGACAGAGTAGCCACTGGAACGGGGGCCGAGGATAAGTGCTGGAACGGCATGAACCGTGCCAGGTAGGACATATAAACCTATAAAGAAATGTATTTCATGGTAAGATATGAAAGTACAAAAAATGACATGATATCTTACAAAACAATGGTGTTTAATGCACAGTATAACTGGAACTGTGAGTCATTACTGAGGTGACCATACAAGGTCAAGACCACACTCTACTTACCTTTTTTCTTTTTGGAATACTGTTACGGACTAGGTCTGGGGGTAAGTGCAGTTTATTTGGCTAGTCTTGACCTGGAGTATGTAGAGGAGAAAGACACAGAAGTAACTCTAGGTGAACTGGTTGTCAAGATTCGGCAGACAGCTGGAAGATGGGTTAGCTTACTGAGTCAGCAGGTTAGCAGGTGTTGGGTCCCTCATCAGCGCTAGTCTCAGCTAGTGAGCGGCGAGCTCTATCCTAATACTTTAATTAGGGCTGGTTTTCCACAAAAATAGTTCATGAGCTGGAAAAAGGTGAGAAGCTGTAGTGTCTGTGGAGTACCACTTCCAAAGCGACTGACGTTGTTGGCTGGTTCGACTAGCAGTCCCATTCAACTATTGTGCTCTTGTTCATCTGAACTTGAATCATGTCCTAATAGCATCAGTGGATGCGTGTACACCTCAGTGACGCAGTTTCGTCACCACAAAGCTTAACCACACGTCATCTCCCAATGAAAACCAGTCCACAAAGAATAGGGAAAGGAACAAAAACCATACTCGCCATTAACAATAGTGTCACCTGTCCAAGCAAACTGTGTGTGACATGAAGTTCCAGCCATCAAATATCCTTTCCATAATGGAATCATGGTGGTGTAATGAATTTGCATATTAAAGCTACACTAAGTATGTTTTGAAAAAAGAGATTTTACAATATTCCACTAGTGAACTTCAATTAATAGGTAATAACACACACATGCTCACTTCTATGTACTTCATACTTTATTCTGCTATTTCAGCCTTATTGGGTCTGGTATTTTAAATCTCTTGAAACAGATGTACACCACTATCTTGTTTATTATATATATATAAGTTTGTTTGTACTATGTTGCATTTTTTTATCCAACTTTTCTGTTCTTCTGTCTTTAAAGAAACTAAATTATGCGAAATGAAAGGAATTTCAGACTATATCACATGTTAAACAACTGTTTGTGTGTGGCAGGTACCTTCCAGAGGTGATGGGTGATGGCCTAGCCAGTCAGATCAACAACCCTGAAGTGGAAATTGACATCACTAAGCCAGACATGACAATACGCCAACAGATAATGCAGCTGAAGATCATGACGCACCGCCTGAAGAATGCTCTCAACGGCCAGGATGTGGACTTTCAGGACACCAGTAAGTACTTTTACCATCACAGCTCCAAAAGTTTCTGAAGAACATTTTCAAGAAATGTCCTCACAGATGACTCACTGATGGATTACAGCTTTTAAATTCTAGATTAAGGCAAATAAACAACTCTGATTTATTCATTTGAGAAGGCAGCACACTTGCACATTAGTATGTACTAAATAGCAAAATCAGTATGTTTGGAATTAAGATGAAGGTATAAAAATGCTCGGCCTAAATCAAAGTGCCTTTTTAAATAATTGAGATCATATTTTGTAGCACATAATGTACGTAACGCAGAATGATGCTGGCGATAAATATTTTCTGGGGCCTGCCCCTGTATAGTCAGCCTCATCTTTCTTACTGGTAGTTAAGCAAATACTGTATGTGCAATGTATGTTTAATATGTATGACTACGTGACAGCAAATTTTATGTATGTCGTACCATTAAGCTCATGTTCTGACCCTCTGTCCATAGGTGATGATGTCAGCGGTTCAGGAAGTGGCATGTGCGCCGATGATATGTGTTCCCGGGGCCCACTCATTGTCCCAGTCACTACCCGACCCATACGCTACCCGTACCTTCCAGAAAACAGGGAGTCAAAATCCTCAGCCAGCCACAACCTACCCTGCATCACCATTTACCTGCTTTCACTGCTCATTTTGCTGCTCCGGCGATAATTGACAGTGTAATCTACCAACTGGGACTGAGTTTGGGACTTAGGGGTTGGGGAGAGTCTGAAAGGGGAGGAAGGAGAAGCTTGGGGTTAGTTACTTTGCCAAAACTAAATAAGTATACAACAACAACAAAAAAAATCACTTGGATGGACTTTTGTTTTGGATTAGAACAAAATGGAATTATGAGAATTCATAAATGTTTTGGTTCTGCTCTTTTCTTTTATTTCTTGCTATATTATGACACCGTTAGAGCTGGTCTTTTCACATCTTCTAATGTTTCATTTCTGGTATTTGGGTTCTCTGAGATTATATCTGTACCTAAGACACGTGTAAGACTATATTGTTAACAGTATGTTGGTGTTGACACCACGGCGAGAGGGAGAATGGGGCTTTGCGGTAGCACTCAGATACGTATATTTGATTCCACTCCTTTAAAACAGCACTTGTGTTCAGTAGAATTATTTATTTATTAATAACTCAAACAAAAGACCCCAGAGTGGTTTAATCACTTTACTTTATTTATAGAAATAGTACACAAACCACAGACTTAAATGAAATAAAATATTGATGACTTCTACAGGAGGATAATCTGGACAGCATGGCCCACCAGGCCTTTTAATGCATTAAGCCTCACAATATCATTACACACAGCAAGGATGAGAGCTCTCCATGTCAGCACTTTTTGCCATTTCATCATGTAAGCTGTAATAATAACCGTGATCACATTCACACTGACATGATTGTCTAATGTGGGAGTAACATGACCTGTCCGCCACTCCATCCATCCACTCATCCCTACATTCCTCCCGCCCCTCCCCGCTGCTGAGGCCGATCTCCCTCTCTCTGCAGACCCGGCTGGCTGTGTAGGATCAATTCGAGAGTCTGGTGTAAGCAAAACACATGCTGGGCCAGGCCAGGTCTCAGATGACAGCAGCTTCCCACTATAGAGCACTGTATGTGGAGCAGGGGTATTGGTTTAAGATGGCCCTCACAGCAAAGGATTGACAGTTCATGATTTTGGAAACGTGTAGCAGAACAGAAATGTACACAGAGGCTGAAACACTGCTGCCATGTAGCGCTTTTTTTCAGTATTCTTTTTATGTGCACAGCTAAGCAGACATATAATATAAATCATTTTGCGTGCTCCCTGCAAAGGCCCAGTGCTCCTGTGATTAGCATCATAATTGCAGCTAGCAATGTCATACGATTTTGTCTGTTTGCAGCAATTATCCATATCACAGTAAAAGCCACACCATGCTCTTTGAATTGTACTATTTCTAATGTAGACACAACAGTGTACATATTTTTGATTGCTTCTTTGTTGTTTAAAAAAAAAAAAATAGGCAATTAGGTATCAAATTTTTTTAACGGCCAGATCATTGTATGCTATAACTCTTATTTCATTCATCATCTGTCACAGTGTATCCATATCTGCCTTTCATTTTACTGCAACTTTTCTATATCAGTGCCTCTTTCTTCCCACCCCCTTCTCCCTCTACCCTTCTCCCTGCTCATCAATTATAATGACCTTTAAAGCGTTCCTCATGCTTCTACATGATGGCAAGGCAATATGACAATGACACAGTGCTTCATTATGTGTCAACCTTACTGGGAATGTTGTGGGAACACAGTGTAGGGCTTTTTTTTCCGATGAGAACCTTGCTGGGGGAGGAAACACATAACAGATTTTAATTCAAAGAAATGTCAAAAGCTCTCATTTAAGAACGCTGTGTGCAGGATGATGGGACAATGCTTGCATGGGTATATGTGTATGTGTGTGAATGTGTGTACTTGTCTTTGATTGATAGAGCAAATGAGGGACGGACGATAAAGCCATTATAAATCACATAAATGAAATGTATTGAAATGTACTGGAATAACATTGTGTGACAGAGTGCTATTCAACTGACAGCAGTTTAATATTGATATAGCTCATTTTTCAAAAACAGAATGTTCAACCTACAACAGTAATAACTCCCAATCTGTATTGATGGTGTCTTTGCTTTCCAGCATTGTATCTAACAGAGAAGTTTTATGTGGAGGACAGAAATGGACAGTCACACACTGGGACAATCCACTATAACTCATTTTATGACAGTTGATAATACTGCAGATCGAATAAAGTAGTTGGGGACTCTGTCAAAGTTGTGAGAAGAACATCTGTTCGACACTCAGTTAATTACTGCTCTCAAAATGGGTGAAGTTGTTGTCATTTGTGTTACCTGACATTGATATTTTGATGGTATTTTCTTCTTTTTTTTTGACATTCTTTATCAATGAATGCTATACTTGCTGCGTGTATGTGTGTTTGTGTGTGTATGTCTGTGTGCTGTCTTTATGTTAGTCCCTGGTTAAGAAATCTGCCTGTGACTGCCTTTGACACTTTGTCTAGTGTTGGGGTCAATGTTGAGATTTAAAGAGAAAGATTGATTTCAGATGTTCCATTGGGGAAAGGAAAAAATAACAACACACATTTTGAACTAAGAACAATTAAAGAGCACCACATGGGTCTTCTTTTTGTGGCCCTCTGGAAATATCTTAATATGAATGTGAAAGTACACATTAAGCCCCTGTAAAAAATGAAAAATGACTCCAACTGTGATGGTGACATTCCAATTCAAAGACGACTTGTAACTCACAACTTCAGTTTCAATGACTGCCTCACAATGTCATCGGCTGAAATTTGCACAAGCCCCCCCTCCCCCTCTCCTCCTTCACCTTTTGATCTCATTAATTTGTTGCTCAAAGTCCCCCTCCCTTTTATAAAACCTGCACTTTTATGAGGCCAATAAATGGCATTGTCTGCACAAAGACATCACAAGTTGGTCGATCAATACGCGAGTCAACACCTTCCAGAAACGACTATTGATTGGGGATGTGTGTATGCAGATAGATATGGCCCAGCAAGACGTCTCCTGTTCAACTATGGTGAAACAGTGTAAACACAAAGCCCCTGTGTGTGAGAAGAGGCAGGAGGAAGGGTTGTCCAGAGTGCTGATATCAAATCAGTCTCTGCGCCTCAACCCTGCTCTCATCCATTAGGTGGCAAAAATCCAAAGCTGATTATCCCACCATTTAAAGACAGCTTTACTCTACACTAAGTTGAATATGAGAGGGATTTCTTAAAGGTGCCATTTTATGAGGAAAAAAAACTTTTAATTTTTTCTTGTTTTTATTTACTTTGGTTTTGTTGTTATCAGAAATCTATGGAGAGTTTGTGCTTACGGTGAAGATAAATGCCAGAAAGAGGTTAAAAAATAAAAAATGTCTCATTTGCTGTTGTACCTGAAATCTTGTGTCAATTATATACATTGTAAGATTTTCAACATACCGGTGTCCCGTGTCTTTAATGGTGGTTGTGTTTATGTTTGTGTCCAGCGAGAATGAGAAAAAAATTTGATTGTTTCATGCTAACATCTGAAAAAAAAAAAAAAGATAGATTGTTTCATGCTAACATCTGGAAGATCTTAAAAGGTTTTTAAATTATATTCATAAACCACTTAACTCACCCAAACACCATGCAGATCTATTGTATCCAGGCTTCTCAGGAAAAGGAAGGGCTGCTCTTCTTCAAATTCTCCATCTGCCCAAGTTGTTTCCCAGAGCGCACCAGGGCACACTGCCACCTAAAAAGGGCCAACTTGCTCCAGTGATGATGTCAGAGGTGACAGCTGCTGTCTGGTGTTGCCACACAGCAAAAAACTGCCACATGTTCAGAGCACACTAAGTGCTTTGTCTTGTTCTGTGTGTAGACATTGTAATGATCGTCCCCCTCAGGATGGTTTTAACAAGGTGTACCATCATCCTATGGGACGCTAAAATGCCACGCTTCACATACAAAGTTCTTATACAAAGTTCTTTAAATATGTGAATAGAAGCTAAGGACTTTGTGGTTCTGCTGCGGAGCTGCAATGTCTGTCACATGGTTACAAATTATAGGAGTAAAAAATACCAGGAGAATAAGCAACATGCAGTTGGGTCAGGGCAGCAATATTTAACCAAGATTATGAATATTAAAATATATATAAAATTTCACTATACTTATAAGCCATCTTTCTGCAGTCCTCTTTCTTCAGTATCTGCTTCACACACATATGGGCAGACACATTCACATTCTCAGCTATCGATTGTGTCTGAAGCTTTTCACCTTCTCTCTCACTCACAGCACAACTGCAGAAGTTATTCTCAGCCTTTTGGCTTCCAGCTTGCCCTTTGGTTCGCAGCAGTTTTATGAGCGACTGCTTCACAACCTTAGATGGTCTCTGTATTGGAAATATCAGCTCAAGAGGGCAAAACACTTGTCAGTAAAATCCCCTCAGTTCAGTACACCATGAACTGCCATTACCTGGCTCAAAGATTTCTTACAGTAACATGCTACTAGGATTGTGCACATATCTTAGAAAACCCATTAAATGTATATGAAATATTATCTAAAAATGGAATCAATATGAGAGAAATAATGTACAACATATCATTTTGAAAATATTTACATTTCAGTATCACAGAAACTTGTTGGGTAGCTAAAAATCTATTCTCTCTATTCTCTTCTCAGCAGCAGGTGCCATTGTAAACTAACCAAATCTTTTAATTTTTGTTTGATCAAAATAAACATGGTATTTGGGGTAGTTATCCTATTGTCTTAGCTGCTTCATCCCATCTATTTGAGTTTGGATTACACAAAAAAATCCATGCAGGTTTTCACATCAAATTGCTAAAAAACAACAGACAGATCCCCCTTGTAATTTTTAACATCAGTGTCAAGTCTAAAAGTTCATCCAAAACTTCAGAGGCCGTCTGTTCTCCATCAAATCTCCATACATGGCTGCAAATGCATGCTGTGCTCCTTTGCCTTTTGGCTTATTAGACATATTCTCTCACCTTTTTCTCTCTTTGATCTGCTTTGTAATTGAGCTGAAGCCTCCCACTCTTTCTCTGTGTCTCTCTCTCTCACTCTCTCTCTAGTATCGAGCTGTCTGGGTGTTATATAATTTCTAATCAGTTCTTATATACGAGATCAAGCGCTTCACATCATTGCCTCTGTCAGATGACTGAATATGAGATGGGTCAAACTGCAAAAAAGCTCACACAGATACAGTTCTACCTCAGGCTTGTGCAGTACAAATGCACATACTGCCACCCAGTGGTGAAAGGCTTTCATTACATTTTAAAGGGAAATGGGATTAGAGCCATGGCTTCTTTATGACATGAGATAGAAATTATGATTACAAGGACAAACCTGACTAGACAAAACTACTTTAAGGGCATGAATGACAACCTCTGTGCTTTCTGACAAATTCGGCACCATAACACAACAGATACAATCAACTGTTAATGAATGGCAGCCTCATTTATTGAATCTAGGGTGTGTAACTCACATTCTTGGGGATAAGTGTCTGACACAGCATGGAAGCAGCAGCCTTGTTGTAATAGTCGACCTCTCCTTGAGTCAGAGGAAGGACACACTTTTTACTTACAACTCAGGTTCCTAAAAATGTATCTACAACCCCTGTAAGGCTTTGACAGAGCAGTAATGATTAAGATTCATGCAGTATGTTGTACTTATTTGTTCAGATTGTTGAAAGTATAACCAGTGGTAGGACGTTTACTCAAAAAGTTACACATTTGAGGTAGGCCTCATTTCTCAATCTCATGCTATTTTATACTTTTACTCCACTAAAGTTCATAGATATAATCATTTTAAATTATTTTTTAATTATTTTGGGGTTTGGACTATTGGTCAGACAAAACAATCCCTGTGAAGGTGACAATGAGAGCTTGTGATGAATTTATCACTATTTTTTACATTTTTACAAACCAACCAACCACTCAACCACTCAATCAATAATGAAAACAATCCTTAGTTGCAGTTATTTTCAAAATTGTTAAAATTGCCTCTAGCTCAACTACTACAACAGTAAAATCCTGGTTTTACATTACTTCATTAATACATGTATAACAGACACATGGGTCATTTTTCTATTCAATTCAATTCAATT